GTCAGGTTGATCAGTCGTGTTAACTATTCTTTCCGTATCCGTTCTGCCTCTAGGATATCCTCTTCTCGCTCCAATTCCTCCAGCAAAGCGATTACTGCCTTCTCACCTGAGATTTCTGTGTACATAGGTTGTACATCAAAACTCACAAACAGTTCCGACCCCACTAACCCAATGTTCTGGATCCTTTGAGAAAATTCATATGAATTCTTGTATGAGTGAGTATCCAATGTGAATACAGGCACTTCTAATTGAAATATTAGTTTAAACCACTTATTTTAATGCAGATTATCCTTAGTTTGTCTGAGAAGGATACTAAAAAGGCATCATTTAGAGAAGACAGCTTATTGTATAAACTAACCCAAGCTTGTTCAGAATAGCTCTCTTTAAATGTTATTATCGAAATAGGCTTCAACAACCCACAAACGTTGTGGTTCATCATTGAACCTAATCAATGCAAGCAGTACCACAAAATTTTTGGGTTGGCACACAAAATAATAGGGCATGGCAAGTCATAGACTTGGTATTAGAGATAGAAGCAGGATAGACGCTACGGCGATGGGAGCTAGTGGGCTGACAGTTTTAGCAGAGAAGTCTGTCTAGCACACGTTTGGTCAAAGGATAGGCTTCACTTGTCTTTTGACGAGTTATTTTATGGTGCTAAAATGGCAAGATTCACTGAGGATGCCGGCAAAACGTCTGGTAATGTACCACGTCTACAGTCCTACTCTGGAAATAATTATGCATACAATGGACTCCGAACAAGGTGCATTCCTCTAAGTCTTCCTACCAAAATGACAAAGTAGCGAAAACAAGGTCAAACAACCTCTATTATTATCATGATTTACATTTTTTAACAAAGAGCAGATTCGAATAATTTACCGTTTCATTTATGTGGATTTCCTCCGCGACAGTTGTCATGAGGCTTTCGGTTATTCCCCTTAACTCAAATTTCGCGAAAATCTCTACACACCTAATCTTATGGCGATCGCAATGCAGTCTTCCATTATTTCTGTCGTGCTGGCCGATCCTCTTCTCAGAGCAAAGCACATGACTGGCCCGTTTTTCTGCGCCTCAATCCGTTTTATAGTCAGAGCGATGGACCAGAATCAGGGCAGAATTTCACTGTATTATTCACGTCTGCATTGGCTGGTTGGTGCCGGAGGCACTACCGGTCTGTTGCCCCGATGCAGTGGAAGGCCGTCTATCTTCTGCCTTAAGCGTTCGTTCTACTGTCCCTCACCAACCTTCCCGCCCTCCGAGGAGTCCAGCAGTCCAGACCCTGCACTGGCTGAACTCTCGGACCCAGTGCTCTGTACCATTCTCGCCTGGCCCAACTATTGTAGCACAAAGAAAGCTCGGTGAATAAGACCAAAGTAAAACATGAGCACATCCA